CGTCAGACGACTCACCTTTAAAACAGTGTTTCTCATTGCTATTACGTTGACTCGTCATGCCAGCGAACTCGCAGCCCTACAATCTGACTACCCTTATCTCCAATTTATCCAGATAAGGTCAAAATATTTGCAAACTTCTGCCCAAAGTTGTCTCCCAGTTTCATCTGTCCCAACTGTTGGTTCTTCAGTCCTTTTTCCCATCTCCATCTACTCCCAAGGAGAAAATCCTTCATACTTTGGATGTTAGAAAGGCTTTAGCTTTCTAATTAGCCTGCATGCAGCCCTTCAGATGTTCAGTTTGACTTTTTGTAAGTTACCCACTCCCTACTAAGGGTGTTCCAGTGACCTTGGAAAGGATATCCAAATGGGTTGCTTCCACCATTCACCTACTTACCAGCTTGCTCAGATGCGAACTCCACCAGCTGTTCGCCCTCATTCCACCAGGGCAGTGGCAACATCTATGGCATTTCTTCACGGTGTTTCCCTTTCAGACGTCTGTGCCTCAACCACTTGGTCACAGCTATCCATGTTCATCAAGCACTACAGATTGGATGTACGTCAGAAGTCTGATGCTGCTTTTGGGCATGCCTTGTTATCCTCCACCTTGGTGTGACACCCTCCTCTGGGTAAGACAGCTTGTTAATCACCCAGGGCGTGATTGACAGAGGCCACAAAGAAGAATGATAGGTTACTCATCTGTAATTGTAGTTCTTCGAGTGGACCTCTGTGATTCATTTTTGGGACCTCCCCACTGTCACACCATGCTTATTTTATGTTACATTTTATGTAACTGAAGGAGAGTCTCGGTGCCAAGGTACATATACTGGGGGAGGGGGGAGGTCTACACTAATATTTTTATTTTATTTTTTGCTACTACAGAAGCTCTAGAATCTTCCGATGAGGCTCCACGCATGTGTGGATCACCCAGGGTGTGAATCACAGAGGTCCACTCGAAGAACTACAATTACAGGTGAGTAAACCTGTCATTCCTATGCTGAATTTCTGCTTAGAAGACATTTTGCTAGAGAGGAAACTCTCTCATCCAGTTCCATTGAAAATCTGCCCCTTTGCGGTAACATTGCCGGCTGTTTATTTTCTTTTTAGCGCATCCTTATTCTGTTTCCAGTGTTCAGACTGTATCTGCCCGTCCTTAGATAGCCAAAATAACCTCGCACAGACATGTGAGGAAAATATCCACATGCACGCAGGTCCCCCAACATTTACAGAAATCTTTGAGGAGGAAACCAAGGTGGGAGAGTTGAGCATGCTCACTGGGCATGATACGAATGTTGTCTGAGTGACTGTTGGAGAGGAAGGCCCAAATTTAAAAAAGGAAGGACTTGAGAAAAAGGAACTAGAGTAAGAGAATGGAATATAAAGGGCCAGAACCTTGAACCAGGAGCTCTTTGCACTGCAACATTTTATTGCTGGTACCACGTGCATTGCCAAATATAGCTTGGTGTTGGTCGCATGATTTTATTTCTCTTGTTTCACAACAAACAGCCCTCTAGAAATGCAGCTCCAATAGGAGTTCTGGTTTTTGTCAAGAGCAGGCTGCACGGCTGGTTCCCCTGATCACTGCTTAAATGTCAGTAGGAGCAAGGTCATTCTGTCCTTGTAGTTGGGCTTTCAGATGGATGGCTACACTTTACTATTCCTTGAAACTCTACAGTTCTAGAATTGAATCATTATTCCCTTAGGAACTGGAAAGATGGAGCAAATTAGGTAACCCAGGTTCCTCTCAACTTTTAGTTTGAACTGAACATCTTCAATATTAAGTGGAATAGAATTTCCTAGGACCCTTGCTCTCTTCTGGCTTCTCGCCATCTTTGCTTTAGGGAAATAGCTTGCAGAGATAAATCAAATGCTCTTGATAGACCTCTGTGATTATTTAGCTTCACAATGTAGGCTGTGAGTACAAATTCTTTGTTGATAGTTTTAATTCCTCTTCTAACCTATGAGGAAATAAGCCAAAAAAAAAAAATAATACAGAGTGAAGTACAAGAAGTTTGGATTGGGGGTTTAAACAACCAAACTTTACAGTGAAATTCTAGAAGGCACTCTGTTCTGGAAAAGAATTAGGAAAAGGCTGTGGTTCTTAAGATTACACAAATGCAAGAGTAGGGTGATGCCTTTATTGCACTATTAAAAAATAAAACATGTTTTCCTGGTGAAAATTCCAGTTCATCAGGTTGGGCACCATTCCTTCATGGACAGCACAGAAACATTGTAGGTAAGAATCCCAAAAATTCATTGAGGTGGATGCCTGTTCAGATTTAGGTTGCAAACATAAGCCGGAGGGACACATCTCAAGCACCATCCCTTGCAGCATGGTTGGAATTTTCCATCCAAAACTTCAAACAAAGGATGTGGTGGTTATTCTCTGACTGCCCCCACCCCATATTGCCTGCTTCTGAAACCTAAAGCTTATTTTGGGCTGGGGGGCTGGGGAGAAACAAAGGCACTCTGTTTTCATATGGATGTCTAGAACAGGAGCAATCAAATTCCAGAAGTGCAAGCCCATACCTAGATCTTAGACGGCCTTACCTGCCCTGTGTTTCCCACCCATCCCCATTTTTAAAAAATGAGAAGTTTCTTGGTTTTAGGACCCAGAGAGGCCTTTTTTTCAAACCATAAGGGACCAAAAATCTCTCCTGGCTTTGCAAAAACATTTTTTCAGACCTAAAACAGCTCAAGGAGGCCAAACGTCAGCAAAAGTGTCCTCTAGAATGGGTAAGAAGACTTTTATGATTTAAAAAATGGTTCTCAAACAATGGGGTATGTGAAAGGCATAGGTTGCCTTGGAGATATGGGGACTGTAGCTTGACTTTGCCCATCCTGGTCTAGAGGTTTGTAGAGGCCTTCTGTCCTCCCTCAGAAATGTTTTGTAATTAGCTGGAGCAAAGCTGGATTATAGCTCTGCAATGATTGCCCCATTCTCAATCTGTGCAGTCTCCTGATGACAGATAAAGGCTGCCAGCTGGCACCCTTTGGCAGAACGCTGTTGGACTGCAGAGTGTTTGCAGTCCGCTTGCCAAGTGATGGCCTTGTGCCGTAGGGTTTGCTGCTCTATAAATGTTGTGGCTTCATTTGGTCCTATTTGTAGGCAGTTTTCTTAGTGTGCATGTTGATTGCAGGATGCTGCACAGCAGAACTTATTTCCTGTTTCCTTACTTGAAATGTTGATCATACATGAAAGGCCTGATACCAACTCTTATTCAGCTGTTTCCTAGTATTCTTTCTGTTTACACCAGGGGTCTGGTCCAAGGACAAGGAAATGTGTGACCCTGAAAATCTTGATGTGTGTCTCCCTATTTGCCTCATCCTTTGCTGTGTTGGGTAGGGCTGATGGGAGGTGCAGTTCAACAAGATCTATAGAGTTGTGTGTTTTTCCCACCCCTGATCTAGCCTGCGTTGTGCTCCCTGCTGCAAATATTTTAATTAGTCTGAGTTGTTGTGACGCATTAGCAGGAGAAACGGATGGCTTAATACTGCTCTTTCATAAAGTCTGTGCTAATCTGGTGGTGAAAAGCATGTATCATTGAGGACTGTGGGAAGTGAAAGGATGCAATCCAGTTCTTACTGCAACAGTAAGCCTGTGTCTCGGACACCTCATTCTACATATGAAAATTTGCATAATTGACTGCATAGAAAATAGGTGTCAAAGTGAAAATGAGGTTAAAACACCTCTCTCTGACCTCTGGTTTTCTGAATGGATTTTATATTTTTGCATGAAAGGACTTTAAATAGCATTAGATACCTTCTCCCCCGCTATTTTGCTTGTCCTATGATGTCAGGGCCATCCCCCAAGCCCTAAAATACATATTATTTATATTTGTATCTTATTCTGAGTTCATAACTGTGCAGCCCAAACAGATGAAAGTGATTGGAACAGCCTTCCATTCTAGTCCAGATGACCCTTGAGGGTTGTCCAGTTGTACAATTCTGTAATCCTCTATGAGCTCTGTAAGGAAAGTTTATCCCCTCCAGACGGTTCAGACCTCAGCTTGCACAAGCCCCAACCATCACAGCCAATGGTATAGGATGATGGGAATGGTAGTTTAAAACAACTGGAGTTTCAGAGGTTCTCCACTCCTCAGCTGTGTTAATCTATGTTCATCATCTTTTAGTCGTGTCTGACTCTTCATGACCCCATGGACCAGAGCACACCAGGCCCTCCTATCTTCCACTTCCTCCCGGAGTTGTGTCAAATTCATGTTGGTTGCCTTGATGACACTGTCCAACCATCTCATCCATCTCATCCTCTGTTGTCCTAATCTTTGTTAGCAACATGTTATATTGCTTAGAAGTAGAGACTTTATGAGAACTCCATTGTTGAGCTATCATTGCTTTTGTTCTAGCAGGCTTAGCTTTTGAATTGTAATTCTTAGGGAAAGATGGGGGAAAAATAAAGCTGACTAGAATGGAAGCAACTGGGAGACAGCATTTTCAAAACAGACAGAAGGAAATCATATTTTTTTTCAAATAGGAGAAGGGATGATTTCTCAGCTATGATGAATAAATGTCCAACTTAATATACAGAACTTGTCTACCTCCTGAATAACCAATGTCACTGGGGTTTTTTGTTTGTGTTTGGAAATGATAACTGTATCTTTATGTATTTAAGTTATGACTGTGTAAGGTATATTTGTCTCATGAAGTGGAAGGGTTTTTCCCCCCTCTAAAGCTCATTCTACATGTGTTTATAGCCACCAAATACCTCTTTGTCTTAGGAAAAAATGTTCAAACGTGCAACTAGGCATGGCTAAATATACTTCAGACAAGTGAATGGAAACCAGAGGAGTTTCTGGCCTATTTGAAATCACCTAACTTTATTTGTGCATCTCTTTCTTGTATCTATCTGAAAGCAAAGATCAGCAAAGAAAGCAAAGCCAGTAGATAAATGCAATTTTATTTTTTATATTGAACTGTCTGTTAGTAATACAGAGTTTGAAGTGCACATTTGCTTGGTCTATATGTAACCAAAACTTGTTTTTCAGATCCTAGGTGCTGTGATCCTTGGCTTTGGAATATGGATTTTGGTCGACAAAAGTAGCTTCATTTCAGTTCTGCGTAAGACAACGTTTCTTATTTTTCATTTTCCTTCATAACTCTCTTTCTCTCTCTCTCTCTCTGTGTGTGTGTGTGTGTGTGTGAGAGAGAGAGAGAACATAACTTTGAATGTAAAACCTCAAAGAAAAGTAGATCTGAACATCAGCCCATCTTCAGATCTTGGTCAGAAGCAGAGGTAACTCCTTGCTAGATTTAGAAGAGCCTTCTAAAGCTAATCCGCTTTTTTGCTTGGGAGGCTATGTTGGGTCAGACTGTGAGAGCATTAGCCATGGAAAGGTCTCTGCAGCATGGCAAATTTTGGTTCACTTAAATGGAAGTCTGAGGACCATTGGGGGGAAGAGAAATCACGCAAGCTTATGCTCTTTAAAACACACACAAAGAAAGAAATTCCATGTCCTGTGGTGTGCGTTATTTCCACACTCCATGCCTGAATATTTAACTGTTCTTATCTGGGTCACCACTGTAGTACTATCCACAAGGGAGAAGTAGGGGGAGGGCTAAGCTAAAAGGGGGCATTAAACCAAGCTGTTTCCCTCTTTTTAGTGTGTGCAGCCAGCTTGAGAAATAGTTGAAGGCTTGATTTGTGACCTGGATTTCCCCCTGAGGACTGGAACCAAAACATATACCCTGTTTCCCTGAAAATAAGCCCTAGTATGCTTTTTCAGGATGCTCGTATTATAAGCCCTGCCCCCAAAATACGCCATAGTTAAGTGAAAGCCCACCCTCCACCACTGTGCAGCAACCAGAAGATGACATGACTGTATCTGAATAAATATAGATTGTTGTACATGAAAATAATAAAACATCCCCTGAAAATAAGCCCTACTGCTTTTTTTTGGAACAAAAATTAATATAAGACCCTGTCTTATTTTGGGGGAAACATGGTAGCTATGTAGAGCAATCAGCTCAAAAGTGTCATTCTTGTCCGTCTTACCCACAGTGTTGTAGATTTCTGCTGGTTGTTCTTATTGCTTAAGGACTTTGGAGCCTTCAGTGTGCAGATTCTGCTTCCCTCCTTGAGTTTTCCATATGGACCGTTTTCTGTGCTCTCCGGTATCCTCCTTCCTCTTCTTTTTCTTATTCTTCCCTCCCCTCCTACCCCCCCCCCCTTTGGCTTCGGTAACCTTATGAACAGAGTCTGGGAAGGAACTTTACACAGCAGGGCATTCCAGTTTGCTGCCAGACAGGCCTCCCTTCTTCTTTCGTACTTCTCTGGCTTTCTTCCCAGAAAAGGGGGAGGAGAAAGATGGTGTGAGAGGGAATGGATGCTTTTTGCCAGCAGAGTCTGTGGAGCTTAGGCAAGGTTGAGGCCCTGTCTTTCCTCTATGGACTTTGTGAAGGATTTGCCTGTCCCACTGACAGACGGGCTGGTTCCCTCCAGGCTGAGGCTTCTATCAGAACTAGCCGATATGGGCAAGGGTTATGAGGAGAACAAAGTTGCCTACCCTGGCCTAAGCGGCTGAAATGGCAGCATTGCCACATGAATCTTATAATTCATGCAAGATTCTCAAACTCTGAAGTGGCCCCAGGCCAGAGAGGGTAATTTGTGTCCCTCCAGATGTTGCTGGACTGTAACATCCATCATTCCTAGCCAGCAGAGCCAATTAGTAAGGGATTATGAGTTTTTCAGCCCAATAACAATTTGAGGAGTCTACGCCCACTAAGGTAAAATCCCAAAGTTGTTGAATTTGTTCGAATAATTGGCTTTTGTTGAAGTCTGCTTTGCCTTAAAAGTAGATATCTAATTAGTGTTCTGGTGATGTTCTACTAAGCTTTTGCAACCATCCTTATAAGAGGACCCAACTGACGTCAAGCAAGGAGCTGTTCTTGATTTCCTTCACCCCAGGCCATGCACATATTTTCCTGTTGATACTGCTAATTTCCTGTTAGATCTGCAGACCTGGAAAGGACCCTATGGATCATCAAGTCCAGCCCCTGTCAAGGAGGCAGAATGAGGAATCAAATTCCCAGTATCTGGCTCTGCAGCCAGATGCCTAAACAGAATCACTCTCTTTATCCAGAACTTCTGGATAACTCAGTGGTTTAGGCATACGGCTCCCTACTGACAGGAGCTGGACTTGATGATCCACAGGGTCCCTTCTAGCCCTGCAGTTCTAAGATGGTAGTATGTTTCTGAATGCTGAGGATGCCCTGCTCCCCCTCCAAATCCCTGCCCGTTCACTGGACCAATCTTCTGTGCCTGGAACAGCTGCATGCTCAACCCCATATACAGTAGCTGTAGATGACTCTGCAAAAATGTGTAGCTTACATCACAGCCTAACAGAATTCAGCTGTTTTTGGCAAAGACCTGTGATTACCTGGGCAGAGAAGCCTTAACTCTTTTCTTCAAGCAGAAGCCCTGTAGTTCTGAGCAGTCACCTTTCTAGAACATGTGAAATGAGGTGAAGGGATGTATTTTAATGTCATGTAATTTCTCTCCTGGTTCCCACAGAGACCTCATCCTATTCATTAAAGGTTGGGGCGTACATTCTCATTGGAGTCGGAGCTGTCACAATGTTGATGGGTTTCCTAGGCTGTGTTGGAGCGGTCAATGAGATTCGGTGTCTCTTGGGATTGGTAAGTGATACAGATAAGTGCTATCTGAAGTAATTTCCCCCTTCTTCCCTGCTTGAGAGTTTTTATAGACTTGCAGTGGGGAGAACTGCAGCTCTGGGATTACATGTGACCACCTTAAGACTGTTTTTGCAGCCCTTAGTACCACCAGTCCTATGACCACCTTGGGTCCTTTTGAGGAACAAGGTGGGATAAAAAATATTTTAAATAAATAAAATAAATACATGTATTTTACACACACCCAATTTTTCTCCTAAGTAAAAGTGAATTGCCGTTTCCAGGAGCAACAATTTACCTTTCAAATTGGTTGCAGGTGCTCCCTGCAGTGTTTTTCAAAATTGGAAACAGACTTCTGGTTTCTTCACACATACATTTTTGCCAGTCTCTGCAGCCACCAGAGGATCCTAGGGGCAGAAAGTGGTCCCCCAGACCCACAACCCCTGTGGGAGGCTAAAGCATTTAGGAGTATCTTTATACCACAAGTGATGGACCAGTTCTTGGGGAGAGTGTGGTCTTCTGGAGTGTGGTAGTGGAACTCCCACCAGGCTTAGTCAGCATAGCCCCAGTCATGAGGGATGATGGGGAACTGTGGTCCACAAACAACTTAATGGATATTCATTGCTCAGCTCAGCCCTAGGGAATACTGGCGGAATCCTAACATCATTGAAATTGCTGTAAGGGATGACTTTTGTTTAGACATGTTGGCCCAAAAGATGCCTCATGCTGCCTCAGAAGGAGAAGGTTAGTGAATGCTCTGGAGATAATGGGAGCTGCAGCCAACATCTGGAAGCTCATGGGTTCCTCAGCCGTGCCTTAAAGACAAATGTAAACAAATATATATCTATATCCATGTTTATGTCCATATCTGTATACAGGAATGTCCTTGGCTTATCAAAGTGGGTGCCTTAAAAATTTAAGCAGGAATAAGTTATGGATAAGACCATTTTTGAGGAATTGTGGACACCCTAAAATGTAAATATCCTGCTCCAAGGATACCTTATGTGGTGCCTCCTCTCGCCTTGCTTTTGTTGCCTGACAGAGGCCTTTCGAAGAATGTTTGTACATAACCACATATATCTGATTTGATAGCTATATTGCTGTCTCATTGGATATAGTGGTGAGGTGTTAAAATTTTTGAATATCATTTTTCATACTTGCCATATAGAGGTCCTTGTTGTTGTTGTTTTTTTAAAAGCAGATCTAGGAAGGAAACATATATATGTTTCGCATCTCCTATTTATCTCGTGAGACTTCCAGTGCAACAGGAGTTCCCTTTCTATGCCCTGTTGTGCCCCTTTGCAGTAGAGGGGTGAGCCACCCTTTTTGTGTGCCTTTTTGTCTGCTTTTCTCAGTCTGGCAGCTGCCCTTTCTCTCCTTTGCATAATGAATGAGCTACTCTAGCATAGAGAAGGAAGATCCTCAGGGTGCTGTAATTAATACTGGGCAAATAGGTCAACAGATAACTCTTGCATTGCCTCTGACCATCCAGTGTAAATCTCAACCAAAAGCCTGTTGAAACACCTGATTGAAGGCAGCTTAGTAGATTCTGTGCATTCACTGCAATAAGAAATGATATGTGGGCAAAGATATTCTGGATTCCCAAAGAAACAGATTGGCTTCAATGCTTCTTTTTTGAGGGGGGGTGGTTAGAGGTGGCTGTTTGAATATATTGCCACAAAAGCAACATTGATTCTTCTAGTACTTTATAGACTTAAGACATTTTATTTGATAGAAGTTTTCATAGATTGCAGCCTACGGGTTGCATCCAATGAAATGGGTTGCAGTTCACAAAAGCATATACCAAATACAGTTTGTTAGTCTATAAGCTGCTGTAGGACTCTTTGTTGTTGTGGCTTCAAAGCTGTAGCTTCTTGCTTCTGTTTTTATTCCAAAGAACGTCTCCCCACCCCACCCCTGATACCCCAGAGGTCTTCATTTGTAAGGTGATGGTGTGTCTTTGGTTTATTTTTCAGTACTTCACCTGCCTGCTGTTGATCCTTTTAGCCCAGATAGCTGCTGCCCTGCTCATCTACTTTCAACGGGATCAGGTAAGTGACTCATTTTTCCTTCTCTTGCGGGTTTGTTGTTGTTGCTGCTACTATTGTGGATTTCAAGACAATGTGTGTGAGGTTTTTAATTGAGCATTGCTAGTTCTGATAAAAACTCAGATTAATGTCCCACTCCAAGCAAGCTCTTGAAAACAAGCTTTATGTATATAATCATCAAAAGTTGTCATTGCATGCCTTCACTTTTTTCCTAAAATCAGTGAGCATGGGGACTAAATATAACACTGAGAAAAGGCTCTTCTGCAGTCTAGGAGCAATTCAGGAGAAAACCCTCTATGTGAGCTTGTCAAGCAGATCTCTGCAAGTAGTGGGTTTTCTTAAGAGAGAAAGATCCTGAAGATCTAAAATAAAAGGGATGCATAGCTGCCCCAGGGATTCTGGGAGTTGTGGTTGAAAAACACACACCAGTACACTTCTATCTACAGCTATATGCCCTGTCCTTCCTTCCCAAATGACACAGTATTCACTTTTTAGTAAGCAAAGGGGCAACATTTTCTTGCTTATACCAAGTAAAAGTATAATTATCGAAATGAAAAACTAATGATTTAGGAGTGGGGAGGAAATGAAGCGCTGGGGTGAGTTCACTATAATACGTTTCAAACTTAATCGGATTGCCCTGGGCTTTGTTTCAGCCCACAAACAAGTGTATCATATGCCCCAAATCTTTCTTACCAAGCACTCATTATAGCGGAGTAAAATGGAGGAGAGCAATTATGACACTGTTTCCTGCACTTTCTGTTGATTCTGCTGAAGTACTAATTGGTTTTGGAAACTGAAATCGTAAAAATTTACTATTCTGGGATTCCATAGGGTAAATGCCCTTCAGATTAAAATCTGCAGTTCTGCTTATGATTTGTGGAAACACTTAAGGTTTTAAAAAGCAGTAAGGGCAGTCTGTTAACCCATGCTAAACTGGAAGAGAAGAAGTAGAAATAACAAAATAACAAATAAAATATAGCTCACACGCTAAGCAAAACTGGCTTGCAGGTGAAGATTTTCTTTTTAAGAGTTTAAAAAATTCATGATCAGCACTTAAGACTCACACGCTAAGCAAAACTGTTTAAAAAATTCATGATCAGCACTTAAGAGGGCAATAAGCAGCCAAAGAAGGGTGAGGGTGGGTAGGAGAGAATGTAGGTTTGCAGTGAATCTGTAATTTTAAAGTTCCTTTTAGAAATTACTAGGTGGAAGGTTAGAGGAGGAATGTCACATGGTTCAAGTGCTGGCTCATGCTTGCTGCTTTGAGACTTTTTTTTTTTTTTAAAGTGACTATCTTCATTTTTTTCCCAAGGAATAGGAAAATAAACTTGCTTTTTGAAATGTTATCTTTAATAGTGATTAACTGCCTGTGGCTTTGAAGTGTAGCTAATCATTTTTTAATTAGTAACATTCCAAACTTTGCATTTTCAAAGCTGTTCTGGAACCAGAACTAAAAATAGTAACAGTAAACAAACAAGAAAGACCCTGCTACACAGAGGCAAATGGTACACTTCAGTTAACACAAACTATTGGATACTCCAAAATGAATACCCAGTACCCAAGAGTTTAGATAATAAAGTAATGTGGGTGAAAATGAAGGTGAATAAAGCTGCAAACCTGTTCCAGCCTGATTAGAAATACACTCCTTTGAGCCTAATGGGCCTTATTTCTGAGAAGATGTGTGTGGGATTGCACTTGAAGTCTGCAATCTAATTCATGTTTAACGTGCAGGAAATAAAATACAAGTGGGCCATTTGGAGCTGTAAAGTTATCTTTCAGACGGTGAACTTGTTTTAAGACAATTCATCTCTTTCACATGGGTTCTTTTGCAAAAAAAAGAAGAAAGAAAGAGAGAGAGAGAAAGAAAGAAAGAAAAAGAAAGAAAGACAGAAAGAAAAGAACTAGCATCCTTTCGGCTTTCAGATCAGTGCAGGCCAGGTGATGTCTCTGCTTTTTAAGATGCTGTCTAGGTTTGTCATCGCTTTCTTCCCAAGAAGCAGGCATCTTTTAAGAAGCAGGCATCTCAGCAGACCACCCCTAATTTGTTAGTTTATCTCAAATGGCACTTACTGTCTCAGTACATTCACTCAGAATCTCTGTAATGAGAAAGAATAAAATGTTCAGTTTTCTTACAGTTTTTCATAAATAAAAACAAACAATATATTAAGTAAAAATGTTAACTTGTTACGTCACTGAACATAACTGGATAACTAGCTTCATTACTGACTGACTGGTTACATAGCTGACAGAATACTTCACTCTTAACTGTCTTCGAACTCCATTGCTAAAACTGACAGAACCTAACTGAACTGTTTGAAAGGTGGGGGAAAGACTCTGAAGTAGAGAGGGAACAATTGGGTGCTACTGAGTTGATTGACATCTACCCCAGTCCAAAAACATCCCTCCCAGCCAAAACCTCTCAAAGTATGTAGGTTGCAACAAAATATTGAATCCATTTATTAGTAATCCGGGAAGTGATAAATTGCCTGCCATTTCCAAAGCCTGGCTTGTGTTGGCCAGAGCAGGAAGCATTGGTGGTGGTGGTGGGAGATGTAACAATTATTTCCTCCCATAGTTCTTTACACATGCTTTTTCCACAGTTCTATGAGGAGGAAGTTGTTGTATCATGCAAGAGGAGCAGTTCAGTGTCCTCTCCAGTGAAAAAAAGAGGATTGTTTTGCTTCCAGAATGCTGCTGTTTGGGGCCGCTCATTGCCCTGAAACAGTTGTGCTGTTTTTCATGGGAATAACTGGGGTTTCTGCCATGGATGTTTCCAGCTCTGCATTGGCAGAGCTCCATTCCACTAGCAGAAATACACCTCCACTTAATCCCAGTCTCTCTCAGATGGGGGTTTAGATGGTTTTGTAAACCTCCCTTCCCTTTTAAGGCATGTCACTCCTTGAAGCAGCAGTAGATTTTATTCAGTATAAATAATTCATTGGCTGCTGCCTACCTTTGAGAGATTTTCCTTCTTGTGTATCTCCAAACTCTCTGGGTTCCTGGGGTCAAATATATTCTGAGAACTTCTGTGACTGTACTCTCCCCTTCCCTTCCATTTGTTTCTGTAGAAATTTTTGTTAGAACTTGTGGTAACATTGGAGGCCTGTATGTGCAGATGTTACCGCAGGGTTGCTGTAGCAACAGGGGTCGGTCAGGAACTTTGATTTATCTTCTTCTGCCTATCCTGAGGAAACATCTTTGGAAACATCACAGACATCCCCTTGGCAGGAAGAGTCTGGCACACGAACCTACGCTCCCCACACATTTCTGCACGAGGAAGGCAGGCCCACTTCCATCAAAAATTGGGATGCTGTGATAGAAACCAGAGTTCCTCTCTGCCCCCACGTCTGTTGTGAGTCACAGCTTTCCATACATGAGAGTCAGCAGGGGAAAAAACGGCGTTCCCTTGCTTTGCATCAGAGCTCAGAGAAGTTACTGTTTTGGACTACAGCTCCCAGAATGCCCTAGCCAAGCTGGTGAGGGGGTTGTGGGAACTGCAGTTAAAAAAAATAAAGGCGGGAGGTAGCTAACTTCTTCAAGCACTGGTTCAAAACATAACAAAGTCTGTGTATTCGCAAAGGCTTTCATTGCCGGGATCTAATGGTTGTTGTGGGTTTTTCGGGCTCTTTGGCCCTGTTCTGAAGGTTGTTCTTCCTGACGTTGACCTGCAAAAGGTCAACGAACTCTACTACACAGCCACAAGGGCCAGGGATCATTGTACAAAAAAGACCATCTAATGATACCCATCAATCACTGTGACAGATAATCTCTCCCTTCCCCCTTTATCACAACAAAACATGCTGGTCACCCTATCTCCTGAAAAAAGACAAAAGCCATTCCCACAACTATAAATACTTATCCAACAAACACCAACAGAGCATGGACAGAGTTCCTACTCCAGTCCTTCGAAGATGCTGGCCACAGAGACTGGTGAAACGTCAGGAAGAACAACCTTCAGAACACGGCCGAAGAGCTCGAAAAACCCACAACAACCATAACAAAGTCTAGCCTTTCCTGCATAGGATCTCTCTCTCTTACTGAGAATTGGATCTACCATTCGCATACCGCACGTAAATTTTTCATTAAAATGCCACAGAGCAGACTATGTTGAATCAGTGGGTAGACATAATGAATGCAAGAGTTCTCTGCTGGGTTCCATTAATCCTTCAGCTCTCTTTGAGTTTAAGCCTTCTTTGAGTTTAATCCCTGTACATGGAGATTATCCTACCTAGTAATCTTTATGATTTATCTGGCATTTGAACCCAGGTCTCTTCAGTCAAACCTCAACACATACTCTAGCTCACTGGCTCAAGTACCATTTCTGTTGAGCATTTCCATTAGCTGAAATAGTCCAATAGAAGTGCTTATGGAACAACTAATGCTCCATATAATATAGTTGGAGAACTCTCCTCACTGTTTCCTTCATCTACCTCCCCTTTTGAAAGGCTTTCATGCATGACAGAGCACATTACTGTCTGTGCTTTGCTCTGTCTTCTGTCATCCTTAGCTTTTTCAGAAAGTAGTCCTCATGACTTCTCTTTTATGTCTGAAACCAGGTTACACACAATATTAAATGCATCTTTGCATTTCAAGATGCAGGTCTGAAACAGAAAGAATGAGAGGGAGAAAGAATCAGCTTAAGGTGGGTTATGGGGCTGATAATGGTTTAAATCCAATGAATGACTAGCTGAATGATAAGTCAACACTTAACATAAATCTCATTGATTCAGTGGATCATCTCTAGCTGGAACCATTGATTAAATTTAGGCCAATTTAATTTTTATCACAGAAGGTGCAGAAAGGCGTGGATCCTTGATGGGATTTCCTGCATGCACAAGAGGAATCATGTAAACTATGGTACCTAACTGAGGTGGTACTGTGTGTATGCCTGGTCATGCTCCAAACTGCAGCTAGCTGCATCAACTTACACAATTTATCTTTTGTGTGTGTAGAACCACAACAGATCTTGGTCATATCAACTTACACAATTTATCTTTGTGTGT